TTTTTTTTTTATATTGTTTTGCCTTTTACCTTCTGTATTAGTAGAACGATAATAGAAGCATATCGATTCGAACGACCTAATAAATTTTAAGATGAGAATGATTCTTCAGTGCGAAATTTTTTCACTATAGTTCTTATTATTATTAAATCAGTGTATTTAGCCAATTTTTTCAGATACGATGGCCTAGATGTCTGTTTCTAACAAAGGATAACCAAAAGAAAAAAAAAAAAAAAAGAAAAAAAAAAGAAGAAGAAAAACAATGTTGTAGTTATACTTTTCTATTTATTCTTTTTTATACAAACGCGACTAAAATTAACTGTATTTTCTTAATTCACTGATAGTTTAGTTACAGTGCCATTGCCTGATCTATTTCTGCCCTGTTAAACGATATAAATATAAGCGAACAATATTCAATTTCCCAAAAAAGGACATTGGCCTGGCTGCTTTGTGGGGTGTTACTTTCTTGGTAGATTGAAACTATATTATAAGATCGCGAAAGGTTTATATAAATACTGAAGTAATATTGTACATAACATTGTTGACCTCTTACCACTTATGTAATAGTCATTATATAAAAAAAATAAAAATTAACTTAACTGAAGTACTTTGATATTCTCTCACCAGCAAACCTATGTGTTAATGGCGATCAATTATGGGACGACGAACATGGAGGTTTATTAAATAATCATGCGATTTCCGAGTGGATGTCAGATATCAGAGAATTAATAGAAAAATTCCAAATATTACATGTTACGTATATTTTACTTTAGTCTATTCATTGTACTAATGCCCAACAGCAATTAACGTCGTAACTTAATATTATAATTAGTAGCTTGTACGAAGCATGATTATAGTTCGAACTTCGAACACGTGTTGAATTGTAGCGTAATTTAAATATCAAAATTGTGATAAGGTAATTGCTTCTGCAGTATAACATCTTCAGTAGTTTTCGGCATATTACAATTATAACCGAACTAAAAATATCTTCGCCACGAGAGAGTTACGTAATCGCAGTAAATATTTTAATCGTGTAATTTTTTCGGTAGCATATAATTAAACAATTGAGCAAGATAACTGTCATTTCTTACAACATTGTATATGTATATGTCGGTTAAATCGGTTTCAAGTTATGAAAGTAGCGTTATTTATATGCATTATAAACGTGTCGCAGGATTTTCAGCGATGAAAGAAATCTGTTTGATATTTCTAGAAATTTTCCTTTATGATATTTTTATGCTCTGTCTGTTTGACGTAATTGCGAAAAAATGCAAACTGAGAGCACGTTTCAAAATAAATACGAATACGAATTGCAGACGTATCTGTTTAGAAAATATCTGAAAATCGCGTATTCTTCAAATTGCGTTTCTAAATAAAATTTTCCTGACAAACAATACATGTTTTCAAGAGCTATTTCAGTCTAGCTATTTTCATCAATTTATTTTATGATTTTATACCGATGTATATAATTGAATGCGATATTGAGCCAACATCCGGTTTTTTTGATCATTTGACGAAAAGAAAATCGACGACGATTACTACTCGATACTTTATCTTCTCTGAATTTTATTGCTTTAGAATTTTATAAGTTCTGCCATTGTGAAAACCTGACTGATTCATCTGTTACCACTTGTGTTATAATAAACTGTTTTGTAATTGCAGCACACACGTATAACGTGCAAGCAATAACGATCGATTAGGAATTCGTTACGAGGTATGACCGCAATGTATTATCGATGAAGAAGCTGAAAAAGAAGTCGGATAACGCGAGAGGCGGGCAAGCGTGCAAGACAGTAGGCGCGACGAATGCAAGCGGAGATGCATCACCCACTCGCGTGTGCAGAGATTTTCTACGAAACGTGTGTCATAGAGGCAAACGTTGCAAGTATTTGCATGAACGTTCCGAGGATGACCCTGTAGAAGAATACACGTTTTGCCATGACTTTCAAAATGGGATGTGCAATTGGCCTGGTTGCAAATTCCTTCACTGCACAGAAAGCGAGGAGAAAAGATTTCGAGCAACGGGGGAATTACCTGCCCACATCTTGAACAGGCTCAAGAACAATAATGAAAAATTGGAATATCCAATGTGTAAAGATTTTATCAAGGGTAGCTGCCAGAGGACAAATTGTAAATTCAGACATTGGAAGAGTGAGGAACCACAGCATAATTTAATTGCAACGTCTCATCATAATATGTCTAGGCCGCAACACAATTTTAACGGTACTAGCAATGGTGAGAATCGCAGATATGAGGAGGATAGAAAGTAAGTCTGTTAAACGTTTTATTATTATTATTATTATTATTATTATTTTAAATCTAAATGATCAAGTGTTTTGTCAAGTTTCTTTAGATATGTTTGTTCAACGACATATTTGTATATCTTTATAGTTTTCATTGGCAAATGGAAGATCAACACAATTTAGTCACAAATAATGGTTACAATGCATCATCACATCCACCTGATTATATAGGACCTCCTGAACCAAAGAGACGAATAGTTTCTGGTGAAACTGTTGTTCATTTTGAAGCTTCGCCGCTCGTGGGCCAGCATACTGCTCAACCGGTCACTCCAGGATATTATTATCCAGTGATACCACGTAATGAAGCTAGAGCAATTGTTTTAGAGGATGAAAATGCATTATTGAGAAAGAAGATAGAGGAATTAAAAAAGCAAGTCAGTTTAATTTAATTTTACTATCACACTCTTACATTGTACGGGTATGATTGATTAATATTTATATGTTTTATTTCATTAGGTTAGCGATCTAACAGCAACTAATGAGTTTCTTCTGGATCAAAATGCTCAGTTGAGAATGTCAGGGAAACGAACTGCAAATGTAACGGCTGTTACAGTTCCAGCAGTTACTATCACAAACACTGTCCCACCATCGCAAGCTCCAACACCTCAACAAATGGTTAATGCAGCGGTAGCTGCTGGTACTTTACGTACAGTTACTGCAAGTGTTGCGACCGTTCCTGTAAGTATAGCCACAGTTGCACCTGTTTCCATTGCAGCAGTTTCAATGGCACCAGTATCAATCCCGCCACCCATTGTTACGATGGCTCAGCAAACGATTACAATGAGCGGTTCAGGTCCTCAGGCAACTAATCAACAACCACCTAATACGCAGCAACCTGCTAGCTTACCTCTCTCGATATCTGGTGCTACTGCACCGTTGGTTTCGTATCCTATTATGACTCAAGAACTTAGGCCCGTATTGCAGTAAACAAATTATAGACACGAAAGGAACATCAAATAATACCTCAAGCACATAAGCAAGTTAAGAATGCTTTCTTCTGCATTCAGTCTTTCAAGATAATATTGTATTTCTTGGAGTATAAGTGATGAATGCGAAAAAAAAATTAGAAGAAATATTTACAGATGATAAAAAAATGTTCTTTAAAAAAATACAATGTTGAAAATATCATTAAATATAATTAAAGAACGCGATATCCTAGATATTTATATAGGAACTCGTAGAAATTATCGTACAGGAAAAACGTAACGATCATAACTGTTTTTTAGCAGTATGGCTTATTGTGGTTCATTAAGTTCAGAGTTTTCATTCCTTTCAATAATTCGTTTTGCAAAAAAGGTGAACATTGATTACATTAATATGTTAATAGCATAAATGTTCAAAGCGTGTATAGATTTAGATTAATAAGAATACTAATCTAAAATTGAATGATCAAGAATGATATTCTCCTATTCTTTTTTTAACAATGTAATATCACGAAGATACAAATAATTTTGTAAGTAATTTTTTGTATCATTAAAAAGATAATCTGATACGATTAAAAAAAAAAATTGTAAATTAAAGAAAATATAGGTAAGAAATGACTCATTTAGACTAATATGTTAAGATAAGTACAAAACTAGGATGAAACATGTAAATGAATTGTATCGAAAGTTCAACGTTAAGGTTTACCACTGCTCTAAAAATGATGGTGAATCTTACGACTGTTCTGTACGCACTGCTGTAAATAGTATTTTGTTGCTTCCTCATTTTCTCGGAAAGAATTTTTATACTTCCATCTTTTTAAAATATAAGTTAGCTACTCTTATAAACTAGTGATATTTTAATCAATTAAGTACTTATTGTGGTCTTTTGTGTTTTTACAATTTTACTTAAGTAAATGGCTTTAGGTTTAGGTGATGGAAAGTAAAGACCATGAATTTAATCCTGATCCATAAATGTAAGAATCAGGTACACAGATAATGTAATATGCATCCCATAAACCAAATAAACGTGTATATGTTTTCAAGTCATGTTATCATGAGCCGATACATGTGTATATATTTTACGTAATTAGTATAAGAGATTGAGCAATAAGTACTCGTGTATTTTATATATGCATACAAATGTATAATCTTTTATGTATAACTTTATGTTAATAAGCACTTCATTAAAAAGATACATCTTTAAATTCTTTAGAAGTAGTACTCATATTATATTTATTTGCATTGAAATTGAAAATTTTATATGTTTATTATGGTAAAATTTTATTTTTTTCTTAATATTTTATTTTATTCTAAAAAATTATAAAAAAATATCTTATATAGTCTCTTATTTAATTACCATTCTAAATTTTTTTTTATTAATGAAGAACTTAATCTTCTGACTTACAAAAATAATACTTTTGATTTTTGAAATTGTAAATTGTTTAAATAATTGTTAATCATATTGTTTTGATATTTTTAGTATAAATGCAGTTAGTTAATAACACTTATAAAATGAAATAAAAGATTTTACATATAGAACTTCAAATTAATTATTCCTATATTTTTTAAATTATTTTTTATAATTTATAAATTATAATTTATACGTTTTATGCATCAATAACCATAAAATTTAAAAATAAATACATTTATAAAATATGTATAATTTGCAAACGTTGTATCTTAATATTTTCAAGTTTGCAAAGCTAATAAAATTTCTTTATTTCTTTCTATAAATTCTAATAAATATAAAGTTTGTGAAACTTTTTACCCAGATGGATACTTCAAACAAATACAAATTAATCCAAATATCTCCTCTTGTAGTGAGGTATTTTATATATATAGAAAAGGTAATATAATGAAAAACGTTTAAGTTATTTCTAAACTATTGTTGTAAGTAAATTTTTGTATAATATATATACGAAGACACAGACATGTTTTTCTTTGATGATCTTTTATGATAAATATGGTTCCAATTATGTTTCAATTATTTGACTATTCATTTATACAAGATACAGCAGAGATAATGACTAGCAATACGGTAGGTGTTACGAAGTTCACAAATTAAAATTCAGTCACGAATAGCAGTTGTGATTTTTCATTTTGTTATATTAATGTTACGTGAGTAGTAAAATTATAAAGATCAAAATAATTAATCACTTAAATTTACACTTGAGATCTTAAAACATATTTTCTTACATAATACATTTTAATTCGCGTCCTTTATACATTTATGATTTATATATAAAATCACATTTCATCAAAACATAAATATGATTATATATTGGATATGAAATCTCTTTTTGTACAATATTTGCATTAGATTTATTAATTAATGATCAGTATTTCTCTAATTTAGATACATAAAATAGACAGTAATTGTATCTTGTATTTTATTATATTAGTATTGTATCTTGTATTATATTCTATTGAAGGAAACTGAAATACAATATATATTTGGCATTGTTACAAATATTTAGTAAATAATACCATTACATTTTATATTCACAAAATATGTTTAAAATATGTAATGGTTATACATTTTGTTGTATACAGACTTGTCTATACATACAGATTAATTTCTAAATTTGATAAATGCAATACTAACACCCCACCACAATTTGATATTTGTGTTTATAAAAATTTACAAATGAATAATTTTTATGCTATTGTTGGTAAGGACCGTAAAGATCTATTTCGTAGCCAATATACACCTGCTAGTAAAACAGTACAACAAAATCCAACCAAGAAACGTAATTTCCAATGATATTTCGAAGCCTTTAAAACATTAATGATTCTAATAGTTTGTTCTCTGGTATCGCGTTGACTACCAGAATTTTCAATAACAAAATTTGCCATCTCTGCTTTCCTTTCCAATGACATTTGTGCAGCAATTCTTATCTTTGCTTTAGCTTCTGTGAAGCCTGATCTTTCTATAAGTCGTTGCAATTGTAAATCTTCTTCGCTATAGTAGAATGTATATTAGTTTCTTTCTTATTTAATAATTTTAGGCTATTTCTTAACTATATTCTTATAATTCTAAGTAAAGGAATTGTTCTTACCAAGTTACAACAATTATTTTATGCAAATAATTTATCATATGTCTTGTTTCAAAGAGCAGTGGCAAGTCCATAACTATAAACTGATGCCCTTGTACAAAATACTTGAGTGTTTGCCAATATATTTCTCTACATATCTCTGGATGTGTTATAGCATTTAATTTTTTTCTTTTTTCTACATCATTAAATACAACATCGCCAAGTTTCGTTCTATCAAGCTCATTAGTATCTAAAAACATTTCTGGACCAAATTCTTGTCTTATTTTATGCCATGCTGATTTCCCAGGTTCCACAACTATATAATATGAAATGTGTAAATTTTCAAAAAAATAAAAACGAAATATGTTTTCTTTTTATATCTGCACACACAAAGCGCTATAAACAATGTGTGTATTAAGTGAAAAAAATATTTATTAATATTACAAAACATTTATTAATTAAAAATATTAAATATTAAAAAAAAATTAAATAATAAAAATATCAAATCATCATTTTATAACAAATTATATGATAATTATCGTTCAGTAAAAAGTATCGTTTCATTTCTAACCTTTTCGTGCAATTTGATCGGCATCAATGACAGGTATACCGAATTCATGAAAAATAGCAGCAACACTACTTTTCCCAGTGGCTATTCCACCTGTCAAACCTACTAAAAACATTTTTTGTCAAATATTTATTTCTATTCTTTAATACTTGTCTTAACAGCTAAATGAATATTGTTACTATTAGCATTGCAAAATTTAGTCCTATTTAACATTAGTCATGTTACGAGGGTTTTCACTGAAATAAAAATTTTCTTTTTATAGAATTTTGATATAACATATTATTGAAATTAGACACGTCTACCAATTAACAATGAGTGGCATAAGTACAACAAAACAAGTAAAAATTTAATTGGTTATAGATTAAATGATAGATAATGATTGAAAAGGATTGATAAGATTCTACCAGTTGAAATTGATCGTTTTTTTTTTGCAACTTGTATCGATCCTTTGTACGTTTAGACAATCATTTGTTATTTTATAAATTCCATATTTACATATGCAAAATGTTTGAAAATTTGAAACTTAATAACGATTTATTTGATAAATTACTAAAAATTTTAAATTTGTGGTTAATGTTAATATATTATTATATTATTTTAGTTCTTTAATTCTATTTGGTTTTATTTTATTACTTATACTTTAAATATAAATAAATGTATTTTTTATATTTAAAATTAAAATATATTTTAAACACTAATATTGTATAATATTTCATTCATAATTTCTAATCACGTATAATTTTAATCATTAAAATTCTTTGACATTTTTTTATTACTTTAAAATGTTACATTACTTCTAAAAATCGTGTATAATGAATAATATAATTTTAATATAATTTTAATTTAATATAATATAATTTTAATATAATTTTAATATAATATTATAAAATAAATATAATATTTATTTTATATCATTTTTAAAATTATATTTTAAAAATATTTTTAAAATAAAAAATATAAAAGAGATAAATATAAGTTCTATGATGTACTAGATGGATATTAATAACATCTAACTTATTCTGATAATATATTTATGTTATTTAATTGAGTACTTTTAACAATTTGAAATATATAATATAAATGATACTCATAAAATATAATGTCAATATAAAATAATAATAAAAAGATAATAAATAACATGTATAATTTTCTATGATATTACTAATTTTTAATTTATTTTTTAAATTACTTTAATTTCAAAATGAATTTTTAATTTAGATATCTTTGGTACACATAATTAATGTCATAACCATTGGCTAAATAAAGGATAGATCCGACAATTCTACTTTCTGTGTTCTGCGTTCTGAAGTTCATTTGTCTATGTTTCTAGTTATGATATGATGCGTAGAATATAAGGGAATTCAAACATTGATTCAATTGTTATAAGTAAATAGTTAAAATTGTTAAATATACAAAAATATCATAAAAATGCATTGTTTCATAGTTTGAATAATTCATTTATAACAAATAAATTATTTTATTTCTAAATATTATTTAATAATTTTTACTTTTCCATTACGATTAAACAATTAAATTATTTTATTCAATAATTTACGTTATTTGTCTTAAATACATTGCGCAAGTTAATTGTTATAAATTATTAGTTAAAATTTAATAGCGCCATTAACTAATGCGGTGCAGAATCTGCCTAAATCGATATGGTAGAAAGTGATACGAAAATGGTACGGGAATCTGTCAAAACATGGGACACAAAAGTTTGTTCGATCTATTCTAGTTAGTCAATGGTAAAGCATAGGGAGAAAACCGAGGAAAATTAAACGTGAAAACTACATAAAAACGGAAATTGTAGGAACTACAAGAATTAAACTTTTTGATCAGTCAGAAATACTTTTATAACGAAAAATAAATAGAACTAAATGCTATTGTTACACGATATTGCCATTCTTGTTTATCGTACGGCACATGTTTGTGCTGCTTGTACTATTAGTCTCTAGACGTGTGATAATTGTATGCCAAAATATAGCGAAAAAAAAGATATTGTATTATCAGGTTATTAATCTATACTGTTTTTAGTCAATGCCATAATATCGTTGCGCCACCTCCAATTTTAAAACGTGCGCGTTTCACATTGTTTCAAGCAAAAGGGATTTTATTTCATTGTTTCATTTACTTTGATTTTGAAACATTGAGTCTTAATGAATGTAATAATATCGTCCAGTATCGGTAGTGCCATTTGATATATTGTTTTTCGTTATGGAAATGTGAAATTTTTGTGTTGCTTGAACGAGAAAAAGAAAGAACAGATTTTATGGATTAATAAGAACGAGATTATAGAAAGAAATTGAAAATGTATCGTCGATTTAACAAATCCATTCGAACTTATGAAAGAAAGAAATTGAAAGAAATGAAAACTTCAATACCAAAAGTAATTGTTTCATCTATTAATAAAACTAAGAACAGAAATCATGTTTCACCAAATGAAAATTTAAACAAGACTGGAAACGAAGTCAATGATTCTATCTACAATGACCCCTTCGAGACAACATTTGATAAACTTCTTAAAAATGCAAGGTAATTTTATTATTGATATAAGTACAGTGATTACACTAATTAATGAAATTATTTTATTAATAGAATACCACCATCTGTACCAAAGACACACAATAATACAATATCAATTAGTTCGAACAGTGAATCTGAAAAAGATGATGATAAATCTTTGTTATATGGAATATCAAATTTTAGTAAGAAACCAATTTTTAAGCAAAATACATCACACAGAAAGATAAATATGCATGTTATGAAAAAAAGATTAACTAAGAAAAAAGCATTGAAAAATAATGAAGAATTTGAAGTAAGTTTAACATTATAAAGCAATAATGAATTCTCATTAAAATTATAATATAATATATTTATATGTAAATCAAGTATTAATTATAAATATCTATATATTATTGAACAGGTACAAAAAAATGTGACTCATAAAAAATATAACTTGCGTAAAACAAGAAATAATAATAAAATATCATTTACATACTTAGGCATTGAAAAGATTAAAAGAAATTATAATAAAAAGCATATATACTCTGCAGAAAGAAGTAAAAAAATTAGTAATATACAAAGTGTAAAATTTTCTAATAATGTGGAAATAAAACCATGTTTTGTTCATTTAGATAAATCTATTATATCAAAATGGTATAATAATTTGGATTCTGTAGATAACAATGTCCTAAAAGAAAGTGATCAATTGTTAGATCAATATACAGTTACTGAAATCAATATTGATAATTTAAAACATAATGGCGCAAAAGTAAATAAATACATATCACCACTTAATTTAAAAAAGAAAAATGAAAACATATTCAGTAGCACACCTAATGGCAAACTTTTCAAACTATCTACTTGTATAATTCCCTTATCACCAATTTCAATTGAATATCTTGAAAAATTAAGAGATCCTACAATGTCTAACAATACCTCAACTAATGAAAATAACGAAATTTTATTAGATTCCAAACTAATCAATAATGATTTGTACAAAAGATCAAATATGATAGAAAAAGCTAAAGAAAAGCTTAAGTTATCTAATTATTTAGTAAATACTTCTAATCAGTTAGAAAATGTAGATAAAAAAGATACTGATTCATTAATTAAATTTAATTATAATGATAATGAGATTTGTGATCAAAAAGAATTGTTAACAAGAAGAAATTTAGTGCCTATTATTCCAACAAGTGAAATCCAACAAAATAATACGTTATATAAGTCAGTATTAAGAGAAGAACATAAAATTTCAAATATGGAAAAACGTTCTTTAAGATTTTCTAGCAATGCAAGTTCATGTTCTTTATTTAGTGATAATGAAAGTATTCCGATTCCATTGTGCAATAATACTGAAGTAGATGATGTAGTAGAAATATCTAGTAGTAATTTAATAGTAAGTGAAAAAAGTACGCTATTAAAAAATGAAAGACATTCTGATTTTGTTGAATTAAATAAAAAATCTTCAAATGTAAACACTGATAAAAAAGTAATATTCAACAAAACACAAGAAGAATTGTCTGCAATTTCAATCTCAATTAATTTGATGAAGTCAGATTCATTATCTGATAATATATATAATAAAAATAATGACAAAATAGGTGATAAAAATGATGATGACAAAAATAGTGCATTAAATACAAAATATTCTTTTGTAGATACTGATAGAAAATATAGTGATTTTCATGTATCTTTGGAAAAATTGCAAGATCCTATTAGAGTTTCAAAAAGAAAAAAATATACTAAATGGGATCTTGATTTAATGACTATTGCAGAAGATTGTAATAATATTAAGAATAAAAAAGAGAGGCATTCAGAGAAGATAAATAATGATAGGCAAACAATAGTACAACAAAATAAATTATCAGTTGTAGAAAATATAATAGAGCAATCTACTAATAATGCAATGGAAAAACCTGTTTATTTAAAACCAGGAAAATCATGGCTAAGATCTTTATCAATTTTGAATAATATACAAACTCAATTTAACTTGGATAAATTATCAATCGGCAAAGGTAAAAAATGGAGACATAGTGTTCAGGATGTCCTAAATATGCAGAAACAAGGTAATTATGTAATAATTAAAAAGTATTCTATTTTTATAAAAATTTTTAATTAAATAATTATATATTATATCGAATTTGTTGCAATCTTAATGGGGGAAATTTAATATAATTCATATATGGACATGCAAACATTTGAATGTTGTGTTTTTATTTGACAAAACAAAATATTATTTTAAAATTCATTAACCTGAAATATTTTATGCTTTTTTATGATATAATATACACGGTTTATTTCATATTTTTATATATTCCTTATTTTTTAAATATTATTTTCAAATAAATTTTCATTCTGAATATGTGCATTTTTATTTTAAAAAATGGACAAAATATATATTACTTTGTAAATATGTTGTAAATGGGTAGGCTTTGAAAGTATAATATAATTAAAAATTGTTTAAATATATATTAAATAAATGATATTAATTAAATTATTCTCATGTGTAGGAATTATACAAAGTTGTATAAAAAAAAATGATAGTGATAAAAAATTACAAATAACTAATGAAGTAATTAATAAATCAGAATATGAATTAATCAATAGTAGCAAAGATAGAACTTGTGATTCTACTATTTTTGGACATTTTTCAAGAAGGATATCAGTTCGTGTTGTTCCACTCAATAGTACTCCAACAGTAAAATCCATTGAAGATGCATCATTCCTTAAAGTTTATGGCATTGTTCCTGTTAAAAATCAGAGATGTACATTATTAATTAGTAATTAATTCTTGCATTTAATTTTTAATAAGGTTTTTATTATTATATATATTTGTATATAGATCCGCAAAAATCTTCTATATGTAACATTCAAAATGATGATATTGATGGCCAAGTTATTGAAGAGCATGTAATTTCAACAGCCAGAGAAGTTATTTTACAGAAATGCTTACAAAAAGATTATATAGCATTTTCAACATATTTTTCTGATTCGTAAGTATATATGTATATACATAACTATACATATGTATATACATAAGTAAAAAATAATAGTTAGAGAATAATAATATCATAATTCAGATACTTAGAACATTGTCGAAAAATTGGAGAAGGTGTATATGGTGAAGTCTTCCTTTATGAATACGAAGATGAGAAGTCTGTTATAAAAATTATTCCTATAGAAGGTAGTGATTATGTTAATGGAGAACCACAAAAGAAATTTCATGAAATATTATCAGAAATTGTAATTGCAATGTAATTATAATTTATTGTTTATAATAAATATTAACATTTATTAAGAGATTAATTTTTTAATAAAAATAATTTTAGGGAATTATACAATTTAAGATTCAACACAGGGTACAATACTGATGGATTTGTGGAAGTAAAAAATATTAAATGTATAAAAGGAAAATATCCAGAGAGACTCATCGAATTGTGGAATATTTATGACGAAGAGAAACATTCTGATAATGATTGTCCATCAATGTTTAATGATGAACAATTATATATTATTCTCGAACTTGGACATGGAGGTCAAGATCTAGAAGCATTTGTATTTAATACTGCAGAGGAAGCTCATATTTTGTTTATACAGGTTGTTATTTTTTCAATTATTTTTTTTTAAATAAGAATTTTAAGTATATTAATATTTCAAGTTTCATTATTATATATCAATTATTTCATTTTAAATACATTTTAAATACTTTTAAATACATATAATCAATACCATTTCAGCATATAATAATTGAATTGAAAAGTTAATTCTCTCTAATAAAAATAATTATATTTAATATTTTTTAATAGGCTGCATTAGCATTGGCAGTTGCAGAGAAAGCTATTGAATTTGAACACAGGGACTTGCATTGGGGAAATATATTAATATCTTCGACAAATGAGAATTATATACATTACAAGATTGGACAAAAAAACATTGAATTAATAAGTAAAGGTGTAAAGGTATATCTAGAAGACTATATTCATTTTTAATTAGTTATAAAACTATTCTTTTCAAATTATTTCTTCTGGTATTTAGGTGTCTATTATAGATTTTACTTTTTCAAGAGTAAAATATCAAGGATGTAGTGTATTTAATGATCTTGCATTAGATCCTACACTATTTACAGCTCAGGGTGAATATCAATTTGAAATATATCGTTTAATGAGAGATAGAGTTAAGTAAGTATATTAATTTTTATTATATATTCAGTTCTGAAATTTTATATTTATTATTTATATATTATTTTAGAAACAATTGGCAAACATTCGAACCCTATACAAATATTTTATGGTTGCATTATACTTTAGATAAAATGATTACGGCAGTTAGATATAAAAAAAGAAATTTAAAAATTCATAAAAATGGAATAACGAAACTTAAGGAATTAGAAAATGAAATTTTGACATATAATAGTGCCTTCGACTTTGTAACACGTTGTGATAAAATTATTAATTTATTACGTATTAATTCGAAATCTGACTTAATTTCTGTGTAAAAAATAAGAATATAGAAATTATAAAATATAAAAAACGAAAAAAATTTGTATTGCAAATTTAAAATAGTTTATGATACATTAATAAATATAAAGGAAGTATTCCGGATTATTAATATAAACAAAATTATAATAAATAAATATCAAAAAAATATGTAAAAATATGTAATTTTATATTTTAAATATATATTTTTATTATTTTTATATATTTATTCCCTTCAAAAAACAAATTTTTATTACAGTCTTTAAACGTTCTTGAAATATAATTTGATTTCGAACGAAAAAATATACTTGTTCAAAAAATAGTATTTGTACAATCTTTTATTATAAATAATGAGATTTTGTTTTTTATTAAAATTTATTATAATTATTTTTAATTTCATGTTGAATGTTGAAACTTGTATCATTAATTATATAAAGGGAGTAAATTACAATATCAAAATTTTTATGATGTTATAATTCAGAATAAACATTTTACAAAAATATATTATAATCTTTATAAATTTTATTTAGGAAAATAGTTTTTTTTTTAAGAGTATTAACAAAATTTATCTTGAAAAACTTCAATAATATTAATTTGTAGGAAGTGTCCTAATGTATTCATAAACATTGCTTAATTTGTGATATGCACTACATTGATTAATGAAATTCCATCTTTGTCGATCAAACTGAAAATACAAGCATTCATTAGAACAAAATAAACAAATTAAAATAAAAAAAGTCTGGATTTATAAGAATATACTATAGAATCTTCTTCTGTTTGTTTTTCTTTCTTATATTTGTTTTCTAATTCTGGAGACTTTTCTTCACTATTAAAGTATCTATAATGTATTAAAGTATCTATAATTTTTATGATGTAATTTTTAGTAATAATTATAAGCAGATTAATATATTTAATAACTTACCTAAAATTATGTTCCAAACTTGAATTATTTAAATCAATAAATTGCCATTTATTTTGTAAGTGTGAATCTTTTTCTTTCAAAATTGATATATTTTTATGTATTGATTCTTTGAAGAAAAATTTTTATATCAATATTATTTATCTACATTTAATATAAAATATTATCTTTTTAATATTATTTCCATTACCTGTTTCATACACATTTGTGGGTGAAATTTGGAATTTCTTTTCTGTTTTATTCAATTTTGTATAAAATTGCTCTTGAACATTATTAGTATATAAACATTGACTTTCATTTTCCATATGAATTATGTTGGTGTTATTGTTTATAATTACAGTTATTCGTCTATGTAGTTCTATTAATTCTTTCATACTTAATGACTAAAAGCATGTAATTATCATTAATTAAATGTTTCATTATTACATGAATGTGTAATTACATACTAGTAACCAATTTTCTGAGTCAAATATTTTTTCACTCTTCATGTCATCTTCAAATTGTTTTTGTAAAATTTCAACATTTGCTTTGTGCCTTTCAGAAACTGCATTTAAACTACTGTCGTAATTTTTTTTCATTAATATTAATTTGTTTTGATATTCTTCCATCTGAGACTAAGGAAACATAACAGTTAATAATAAAGTAAAAATATCATATAATATAAAATAATTAAATATAAGATATTAATGAAAATAATATACTTGCTATAATAATATTAAATAATAGCTACTTTAAGGATAGCACGAAGATCAGCGTTTTCTTGTATTAAATGTTTAATAATTTCTTTGGGATGTTCTATTTCAGTATTCATTATTTCATTTTGGTTTTCATTATGTTCATTTTTAAAAAATTTGATCTTGTATTTTGTCATTAAATTATTATTTTGAGGAGAATTAAATTGCTTAACTTTTGTATAATTATCTTCACACATTTCTTTTACATTTGTATTATTCAATAGTTGTATATCAACTTCTTCTATTTCATTTTCTTTTATTTCTCGTTTTTCATTTCTAGACTCTAATTTTAAATCTTTAATTGTATTATCTATAGTTAATTTTATTACTTGATCTTGATGAGTCTAGAAATAAAACAAATATGTTAATAATTAATAAATAAAATTAATTAAATAAGCAAAATATATCTAAGAAGCTACTGACTATGCATTGATCTTGTAATTTTTCAATTAATTTATTATTTGATGGATCCTTTTCTAAATTTGTTTCCTTTTGAAGACTTAGTAATCTTTCATATATTTGATTGGAAAGAGTATATAATTTGTTTTTTAGATTTTCTTCCATTATTTCATCATGTATTTTAATTAATAATTCAGAGTTTTCGTTTTTCCAATATTCCACATTTTTTTCCAAAATTTCATTTTCATGTAGATATATGTCTAAACTATTATCGAGTTTTTTGTTATTATTTTGATCATTTATAAGTTGTGTTCTCAAATTATTGAGTTCAATTTTTAGCTTCTTTTCATTTTTATTCAATTTTGTAAGATCTTCTTGCATTGTGTATATAATATTAATTTTATCATTTTGTTCAGTTAAGGATACAATTGTTAGATTCGTTTCTGTAAGTTTATATTCAATATCTTTTACTTTTTCATTCAATAACTTATTTTCATCTTCTAATTTTATAATTTCATAACGTTTTTCTTCCAATATATTTTCATATTCAGCAATTTTTTGTGACAGAATATTATTACTTGTAGCAATTTTATTTTTTAAGATAATTATATTTTCATCCTTTGTGGAAATAATTATATTGGATTGAGTAATGCTCTTTTTTAATTCATTATTCTCAAATTGTAAATCATTTAATCTACAAATACATGTAGTAATTAAAATATATAAAATAACAAAACAAACTTTCTTATAAGATAAAAAAAGCTTTACTTTTTTTCCATTTCTTTAATCTTATTTTCTAAAATAGTTTTTAAATTCTTAATTTCATGGATTTCATGGACTTGTTGCGATAAATTTTTAATTTTTTTGGTTTTCGTTATTAACTGTTTTTTATTTTCTTGACATTCCTTTGACAATCTATTTTTTATATTTTCTAAATTTTTATTTTCGTTTGTTAATGTACTATAATTTTTATCATGTGTCAATAATTCACTTTTAAGTATTTCAAATTGTTCTTCTAATTTCAATATAAGATCATTTTTATTATTAAGTTCCATAGTTATTTTTAATAATTGTTCTTTGAGTTCAAAATTTTTTTCATTTAAACAGTCACCTTTTCCTTTTTGTTGTTGTGCCACTTCTTTTAATTGAGTTATTTCTAAATCTTTTTTTTTTAATTTTTCTTTTTGTTCTTCTATTGTTTCTACTATTTGTACATGTTGATCTCCAGCACCTTGACATTATTTTTTGTATAAGAAAACAATATTATATATTTAGTTTTATTTGTAATTGTAGAAAGAACTAATTTAAAAATACTTTGAAATAAATTGTTAAAATACGTAAGATAAATAAATACACAATTTTGCTCATAAAATATAAGAGAAATTATAATAGAATAGGATTCAAATATTTAAAAATTACCTTGTAGAGCTGTACTTATTCTATTAATACAAGATTTCAAATGTGTTTCAATCGCTTTATTAATTTTTTTGTCATATAAATATTTTTTTTCAATATCTAATATTTCACTTAGTAACTGATACAAAATGTTTTCAATAAATTCATGTATCTTATTTTGTACTTGTAATAAGTCATTAGGAAATTGTTTAATATAAGAATTACGCTTCTTATATTCTTTGTGTTGATTATATAATTGAGAAATTAGTTTCTTCTTCAAAGTTACATCTAGCAAAAAAAAATAATATATAGTAGATAAAATAAAATATATAAAAGTGCAAATTAAAAGTTTAAATTACCTTGAGAAACATTAATAGCTAATTGTGTATCTTTTAAAATTTCATAAAAGTAATAAGTTTGTTTAATCATTATAGGACGTTCAATTTCTACATATATCTGCAACTTTTGTGTAAGGGAACGTAGCTTAATTAAAAAATGTGTAAAATATTCAATGATTTCTTTTTCTATATTATCCATGTTATTTTTCTTATTTAATTTAATACTGTATTTGTGACATTCCTATTAAATGGAATATGTTCTTATCTTTTCATAATAGGAAATTAAATCAATGAGAAATATTACCTTTTGAAATCCATAAGAATCCAAATTATTTGCTATGTCACTTAATAAATTTATATTACCAGCTACGTTAGACATGTCATCAAATTTTATTTTATTTAAATTATTGATATCTTTCCTTACATTAAATACAACCGCATTGTCCCCAACTAAATATATAAAATATTTATCATATTAATTATATATATAAATGTATAATATTATTATATTACATAAATTACACATAATATTGATTTTATCTATAATATAAAAAATTTTACATTTGATTCTTATATGTATGTAATGTACTACACATTATATGTAAGTTTTAGATAACAATCTTACTTGTGTTATTTAAATTCACTTCAGAGCCACAAGAAAACTTTTCACAAATCATGTATTTTAAATTTTGATTAGAATAAATTTCTTGTTGATCATTTCCTATGTGCTTTAAATCTCCAATTTGTTGTAAAAGATTCTGACTTTCTATTTTATAACTTTGAAATCTCTTTATAATAATGTTTATATTGTACAGTATATTATTTGCTTCCTCACCAATATCCAAATTACATTTTGTACAATTACAAACTTCTTCACAAACACCATTAAACTCTTCTAAATTGTTTAAAATATATTTTAAATTAACGAAAAAATCACCAATTTCTCGTTTTGTAGAAGTTAATTGCTCTTGATATTGAGAAATTTTAATATCTTTATCCTGAATTTCAGTTTTTAAAGTTTCTAACATATTCTTTGTTTCCATCTAATATAATTAATGTTATATTATTTATATAATAAAATTGAATAATTTAATAAATATAATTAAAAATAATGTACTTGTTCATTATATGTAATAGATAATTCTTTAATCACTTTCAACAATTGATTTAATTTCTCTTTTTGATTTGTTAATATACAATTCTGTTCATAATTTTGTTTTTCAAGGTCATCTCTTTCTTCTAAGACATTTTTTAATTGTTCTATTGTTATATTATACTTTTCTGCCTTTTCTGTTAATTGTTCAATTTCTTCTATTTTTTTCTACAATATAATAAAAATTTACATTTTTTTCATTTGAAAATTAATTTTTTATATTTGATATGTGTAATTACTGACTAAAAGTGACTCTTTTTCTAATTGTAATGTCACTGTTTCTTTAGTACGTAATTGAAGGTTTTTAATTTCCTCAGAATATAAATAACAACTTTCACATTTTTCATTTAAATCTTGTTTGAGTTGTTCCACTAAATATTTATAACTATAGAGCTAAAAGAAGAAAAGAGGGTAAAATTTTCAAAGCATAATAATACATCAAGTACTTTTTTATATTACTTTTTTCTCCAAATCTTCTACTTCACAATTATGCTCATGATCTAATTTGTACAATTTTTCATGTAACATCTATATATATATATATATATATATATTATTAAATATTAATTGATTTTAATT